AAATTTATTGAGAATAAAGAGGGTTCAATTCGAGAGGCGGCAAAACAATTTGGTGTGCCCAGAAGTAGCCTCCAATTTAAAATTAAAAATCCTGACACAAAGTCTAGACTAGATCCAGTGCTAACTGAAGCTGAAGAATACAGTTTATGTGACTTCATCATACAACTATCAAAGCGTGGCTTCCCAAGAAAGGAAGAGCATATCCAATTATGTGTCCAGAATTTTTTACAATAAAATCCGAGACCCAACCCTTTCCGACGCAACAAACCGGGAGATGTGTGGTTTAAGGCATTCCTGAAAAGACACTCTAATATATCAATTCGAACATCAGAAAGAGTTACCAATGCAAGTGCATGTGTTTCTGTATAGGATATTAGGAAATGGTTTCAGGAAATACAGGAGTATATTGTCGACGAAGAACTAAATGACGTCATTCAAGATCCCATAAGAGTGTTCAATGCCGATGAAACTGGATTCGATATTTGCCCGAAAACAGGCAAAGTACTGGCTGAGAAAGGGTGTCAAAATGTGTACCAGATAGAAAAAGTGTCCTCTAAAGAAAACATTAGTTTTATTAACGTTTCCTGTTGCTGGACACGTCTTTAGACCAATGATTATCTATCCTTATATACGGATACCTGACCGAGTTTCACTGAGTGTGCCATCTGATTGGGGAATAGGGCGAAGCGACACAGATTGGATGACTGCAGCAGTTTTTTATGATTATATCTCTGTCTACAACCACAAATTTTAGAAAGTAATATCCCACTTCCTGTAATTCTGTTTTTCGACGGACACAGATCCCATATAACTATAGAAGTATCAGAACTATGCCGCCATCTTCAAACACATCTTTTCGCCTAATAAAGGTTGCTTGGAAGAAGGTACTGCGCGATCGGTGCGCTGTGAATAATTACCAGATGAGTCTGACCAAAAATCCTTTGCTCTACTGTTAAAAATAGTTGTAGACTCATTTTGTAAGAAATATACATTAATAAATGGATTCAGACGAATAAGATGACGAATGAATAAGATGATAAAAACCCTAGGACGATTCTTGATAAATTTACAGGTGAGCTAATAAATAAAACCGAAGAAAGAGAAGATAACAGAATGAAGTGTACAGTAAGCCGACACTTCAGAATAATTTAATAGAACGTAGTCCCGCTCCGCAGGCTAGCACGTCAAAACAAATCACATATTCTAAGGTTTCCATAATTTCTAATGTGTTCATAATCTCTAACTGAATATTTGAAAGAAAAGTTAAAATTTTCACCTAAACGCCAAGGAAAGCGTGGTAGAGCCATACTGCAGCTATATTAGTAGTATAGTTGTAGCACGAATAGGTCGGCTCGACCGGGTAAACGACCACGCTCTCACAGAATACCAGCGTAAAATAGCAGCATATGGTGAGTGTAGAGAACTGGAGACCCATTTTACTGGAAAAGAGGCATTCTATCTTAGTCCTCACGGGTGACGACGCATCGACGCACTTACTATCAGGTGGACTGTGTGCTCGTTTGTCACCCTATCCCATAAAAAAATAGAAAGACTGCCATCTGCTTTAACTTCAGAGCAATACGTGGAAAAAATAAAAGCAAAAGTTAAAAAAGGAAGAACAAGCTGCATAACAGAAAAAAAGAGACTACGAGAAGAAAAGAAAAAGGAAAAAGAAAACATAATATCAAAGAAGAAAATCAAGAAAAAGTGATGGAAAAAGCAAAACAAAGATAATTAAAGAAAATGTATGTAAAGGAAAGACTGAAAATACATATGAAGTTAATGAACAATTAGTTTTTTGTGATTTTTGTTCGAATCTCATTACACGTAGTGTTATTGAATGTAACCAGCGTAGAAAACGGTTTCCTTTTAATTGTATTCCATCATATCACAGACTCCATGTACCTGTGGAAGATGAGGATCAGCTTTTGTGCCACATTTGCTATCGAAAGAGTAATACTGATTCATCTGACGGTGATTGTGATGCCAATTTTGGCTCTGCTTGTGAAGAAGCACGAAAGCAAAGCTTCGGTTCAAGCTTTATGCTATTAAACTACATTAATCTTATATTCGTTGATTTGTTGTTATAGTGAATTAAGAAAGTTCCTATGTCGTATTATATTTGATCTCATATTAATATTACGGGCAAAGTTAGGATTTATTGTCTAACATAATGAATGTTTTGTTTAAAGTTTATTTTTTGTATTACTTTATAGATAGTAACATGAAACTGAGGCCTATTTCATGTGGCCAATTAATAGTTTGATGACGGCTAGTTTCTAAAATTAGTGGCTAGTAACTACCAAAAATGATAGTTTTTTGATTTTATTAAAATTTGATACCAAATATTGTTTTGTTTTACTTTTAAAACCCTGAATTATATAAAATAATGTGCACATTATTGTGTGGCATTGCAATAAATCTAATATAATAACTCATTTTGACATAATTAAAGTCTGACTTGGTGAAAGTGCTTAAGTGGCCAGTTACTGGTGGTTTTACCCTAATACATTTTGATTTTGTACAGCCGACTTCAATATAATAACTCAAAAACTGAACAAAATTAGAATATATGATATTCTAATTTTGTTCAGCCCATTATCTACTTTAATTAATAATTTTAATACATTCAAACCTGATTAATTTAAAAAGTACTGCGTAGATTTAATGTACGCAGTACTTTTAAATTATGGTATCATTTTGAAGCTTAGGCATTAAACTTTCAAAAAGTAATCAGTTATTTACATAATTCATGCCATTTTAAATAAAATATACTTTTTAAATTTTGAAGGAGATTCGATTCAGTTGCTCACAAATGTTGTTATTTTTTATACACAACCATTATAGGATGTTAAATGAAAGGGTTTGCTGAAAATACGAAAAATAAAATGATGCCACTCTAATTTCAATATGGCGGACCACCCAAGATGGCGGACTAGTTATTTTTATGCACTCCCATGATATGGGTATCAAATGAAAGTTTGTTGAGAAAAATACAAAAATAAAATAACATCACTCTAAATCCAAAGTCCCAAAGATGGCAGACTTTTTTATGCAACCCCATGATATGGATATCAAATTAAAGGGTTCGCTGAAAAGAATACGAATACTACTCCCGACCAAACAGTAAGACTTAGCGGGGTCGTGTCTTAACTAATATCGATTTACATCCTGGGCGAATTCTAGCGGTGGTGAAAAAATTCAAAATAGCGGAAAAGAAGATACAAATTTTAAAGCCGCCATACAAATTTTAAATTGTTATAACTCGACAAAGGTTAGGGATAGTTTGGTGGTGCTCGAACAAATGTAGTTTGCGACAAGGGTCAACTGCTGGCGATAAAAAAAAATTAAAATGGTGATCAAAAACCAACGATGACATATTATAAAATGAACAGATTTAGAAACGTGTCCAGTGATAACTAAAAAATAAACTAATAATAAAAAAACATTCAAAAACAGGCTGTTATTAAAATGCTCTAAAAAGGAGAAAATAAACTCTAGATTAAATCAAACCCATCTATTCATTACATTGCACAATTTATATATCACGAGATTTACCTGTGTAGGTACATAAGCAAGAATACACTATTAGGTATGTAACTTGATATTGACTTAGGTAGGTAATATAATTAATAGAATCAGGCGTTACTTTGCGGAAATTCATTATATAAAAGCTTTTAGAAAAATTTACTTCGCAAATATCCGCGTTATAAAATAAAATGATGTGTCTTACCTAGTATGAAGAGCACCTAACTCACTAAAACTCACTCACTTAGCGGTTAGCCACCGTAGTCTATATCACCTGAGGATGCCTCGTGTAGAGGCGAAACACGTGTCGTATTATCGTCAGTGGTGTGTCTTGCCTAGTGTAGTGGTGTTGGGAGTAGCGGTGCTGGGATTAGTGGTGACTGGGATAGTGCACGCAATTGAGGAAGGGCGGAAGGTGCTCTTCATACTAGGTAAGACACATCATTTTATTTTATAACGCGGATATTTGCGAAGTAAATTTTTCTAAAAGCTTTTAGGTAGGTAATCCTAAGAAAAATAATGTTTTTTATAAAATAGACAAATCTCGTGACAAGCTTTTATATCATATCATTTAAATTTTGTAATGTAATAATAAATTAATAATAAATTGATGGGTTCGATTTAAAGTTTAAAAAAGGAGAAAATAGCTTTCTTTAAAATAAATTTTTATTAATTTATTTTAAATAGGATAACTGTGACTAATTAGCCCATGGACATTTATGTACATATATTCCTACTTAAGAATCAAAATGCAGATGCTTACGTGGTAGAGGCATGCTGCAGCTATATTAATAGTATAGTTGTAGCACGAATGGGTCGGCTCGACCAGGGAAGGACCACGCTCTCACAAATTACCAGCGTAAAATAGCAGCTTAATGCTGCTGTGTTTCGTATGGTGAGTGTAGAGAACCGGATACCTATTTTACTGGGAAAGAGGCATTCTATCTTAGTCCTCACGGCTGACAACGCATCTGCATTTTAATTCGAAAACGAAGATAGATGTAGATGTCTATGGGCCATAGCAACCACTTACCATCAGGTGGACTGTGTGCTCGTTTGTCACCCCAATTCTATAAAAAAGGAGATGCGTCGTCACCCCTGAATGCTATGTTGGATTGCCTCGTATATCTACAGTAAAAGCGGTCTCCGGTTTTCGACATTCTCCAGACTAAACACATCAGCATTAATTAGGTGCTATTTAAGACTGGTACTATGTGAGAGCGTGGTCCTGCCCTAGTCAAGTCGACCCATTCGTGCTTCAACCATAATATAGCCGCAGCCACTTATAACAAACAAAAAATTTGTTGCATAATTCTCTCGGATAAGGTTATAAATACTACAGCATTAGAACGCTCGGAAGCTTGATTTCTCGGTACGGCAATTCCGTTCTTAATTTACTTTATTAAATGAATATAGTGAATACATTTAAATTTTTTATTTTTAATACTATTAATAACGAATGTCGGTGGAGTTTACGAACATTTTTCTTTAGTTTCAATGACGGGTGGTGGCGGTGGATTGGGATCAACTTCGTCAATGTAATCTTTTGGATTCTTGCGCTTTGACTTACGATAGGCTTCTTCTACACAATGATAGACCATACCCGCAATTAAAAATGCTAGAAAAGATGCAAATGAATCAGACTAATACGATATACTTCAATACAATACTATTTGGGGGATTTTAAAACTCCTTACGAGGCAACCAGTATGGTAACGTCATGAATGTTCTCGGCACTAGGTTTGGAAGTCCCTTTTTAAAAGCACCAGCGAACGCTTTTTGTTCGTAAGGCGATAATCTAAAATAAAGTATTCCCCTTATATAAGCTAAGTTTCCAAATTGTTTCATTTTGGAATAAAATTTAAATAAAACTCGTCACACTTCCAAATTATAAGAATGTGTGTTTTCAATTAATAATTGTACAACAAAAGCGAGATATGTCAAGTGTCAATGAAAAAAAAAAACGTATTGAAACCAAAGACATTCAAATAGTAGTAATACCTATATATTTAAATCTCTTTGTTTGAAATCAGCATGCATATGAGAAATAAAGCCTGTATTGCATTCATACACTATGATTACATTAGTAGGTAGGTAATGTAGCACTTTAATTTTTATTTTTTAAATCACAGGGATAAATGTAGAAAATTACATTAAAGAAAAATAATATACTATACTTCCCTGTATGTGATAAAGACACAATAGTTAAATAATCGAAATGTTCATATATGACGCAGGGGACAATGAAATGATTAAAATAGCAGTTAATATAAGGTCCTCTTGCAAAATAATAGCGTCTGCCTGTCCGTTTTACTCCCGGTAGAGTTTAATAGTGATATATTAAATGTGTTGGCCTGTTACCTAGCTACTTTATATTTGGGCGTAAATTTAAAAAAAAAGAAAGATGACAGTAACATTTTTCCTAATGATAGATTTTTTGTATAATATAGTACCTATAACAAATTAATGTTCATTTATGTAAATGTAGTGGCGAGATAAAAGTATCCACTAACCCATATCATTCCGTGGATGTCGTAAAAGGCGGGAGAAGGAAATGAAACGGGAGATGACAAATTATATAACAAGGTAAAAATAAGCGATTATCAACTCGCCTGCCAAGCGTGGTAAGCTGGGGTTGAAGGGCTATATTTAGTAGTGGACTTTTGCTAGGCTGTAATTATGATGATAATAAATTCTGTAGGGGATGTAAAGGAGAGTAAGTAAAGCACCTAGGTAGCACAGTAGTTACTAGGCCAGGGTAACCTATGGTCTTATAGGCGTTTTTATACAGGGTGAAATTAAAGTACTTTGTAGCATATAGTTGGCAGTGGTACCTACAAGCACGTGAATTTAAATTTGTTATTTGGTTTGTTTCTTGGTTTGGATTCTAAGGCAGGTTATAGCAGGGGTCACCAAATCCGGACCGCCGAGCTATTTTATGCGGAACTACAAAAATTCGGAAGTTTTTTGTCAAGAATTTTGAATAAAATTAGTATGTTAATAAATACCCAGAACTAATTTTTTTTTGGATCTACATATATTTGTGAAGCAGCGTTTTCCAAGATGAACTTCATTAAAAATAAATTTCGATCTCATCTTACCGATGACCATCTCCAATATTTAATGGCACTAGCTTGCACCAACTTAATTCCAGACTTCAGACCTTTGTTAGTTTAAAAAAATTGTTTAGTTTAAAAAATGCCATTTTTCGCCTTAATATTGGGTACTTACTTTGTTATTTTTCTGCCGACTTAAAAAAGTAGACGGTACTCAATTCGACTGTACGTTTTTTTTTATTGTGTGTTACCTCTATAACTTTTTACTGGGTGAACGGATTTCGATGATTCTTTTTTTATTTGAAAGCTGGTACTTCTGATGTGGTCCCATATAAATTTGATCATGGTCAGACCAATCGTTTTTGAGTTATTCTTAATAAATTATATTGATGTCGGCTGTACAAAATTTTTAATTTTAAATTATTAATTAGACTATGTATTCTGAATAAAAAAAATCTAATTTCGATTTGAAACGGATCACGACAGATTTATATTTTTTTTAAACGGACCCGCTATTGAACTAATTGACTTAGTCTAAGTGGAAAAAAAATGATTTTGACGTTGGCGTGTGTGAGAGCATCGCACACGCTTAGATGGATCAAAGTATAGACACCGCTTCGAAGTGTACTACTGCGCTAATTGGATGGGCCATAAACGACAAATTTGAAACAAAAGAAGTCGATAAAATGATTTTTCACTCATTGTTTTGGTAATTTATTGACCATAAAAAAGGGAAAAAAAGAATGTTTTTGAATATTGCTTGTTTGAAGTAGCGACCGTGTCGTCGCATGAGCCTAACAAAAGAATCAAAGAATACCGCTTCGAGGTTAGAGGTACTGACAAATAACCTGATCTCCCTAGAAAAGTCCTGACATTTTGTTGCAAAGGTAAATTTTTGTGCACTCTCGCGATCAATCCACGTCGCAGATGTCACACAAATCCTGACATATGGTATCTCTATTCGAGGTGGACTATTGTACTAATTGGGTGGGCCATAAAAGAAAAATTTTAAACAAAAGAAGTCGATAAGTGATTTCTCACACATTGTTTTGGTCACTTCACATTTGTATCTTGATATTTTTTTATTACCAAGACAAAGATCCAATACAAAACATTGGCAATCCAAAAAAAAGCTGGCGTTCTTCTACACAGAACAATGTACCTTTTAAAACTTAACTATGATTTACTATTTGTGATTTAGATTTAGCGTAAAACACTTTGCACCCACTCAGTGGACGTTACATTCTACTTAAAAAACAAATACAAACCATAGTTCACGTTGATTTCTACTACCTCATGCTGAAGCCGCCGATGGACGCCTTGGAATGCTTTAATCAGTGAGATACCTCAGACGTAAAATGTATAACTGCATGAGGGTAATGTGTTTCTATTCACAGGAAGAAATGAATAGGTTAAGTTTTATGTCCTTTAAGATTCATATTGGGACGCAAATCGAGACAACTTGTTTTAGTGCGTGGGATGCAATCGATATGCCACTAACGTCATTTTTAAAGGACTTTGGGCCGCTGGAGATTAAAACAAAGGGCCGCTCTCTTAAGCGAATACAAAACTAAACAACTTTTACTATACTTAGTAAGCTAGATGTTAACACTAATGGCCTCGGGATTCTCAGATATTATAGAAAGTTCCAGGAATTTGACAAACACGTGCATTTCCTCTGTTTATTATGGTTATTGCCAACTATTCAATACAATGTTGGTAGATGCCGAATTATGGTTGCGGTTTGTACATAATGTGTATGTTTAATTATTCACAGCGATATCAAAGAAAAACAAAGCTCAGGAAAACAAAAATAAAAAGATTTTTCGTTTAGTTTCGTTTTAAGAGCTGATATAAACTCTATATAAACTTTACACTCACCAACCCGCTTGCTTAAATAAATAAATCTTTCAAATAATAATCTTTTAAAGACCGGCATTATGACATATCAAATATAAATGTAGTGAAGTAAACAGATAAGAAAGTACTTAATTAAAAGACGGTAATAATTCTTGTAATCGTATATATTCATTACAGAATCTGTTAACATAATATTTATCACCCATAACTATATATTAATGAACATAGTTTAATATCGGTAACAATGACATAAATTATTTGCAATTTATAAACCACGTAACTAATATTCGTTATTTTGGTTCACTAAAAATTTTGTCCTTCTGCTCATAATACCTTTTTAAGCGTATTTCTGCATATCTGTGAAAAAAATAGTAATATATAAATAAATAAATAAAAAAAATAAAATATGAACCCGATAGTTATTATGTAGTTATTTTATGTTAACTAAATAATAACTATTGGGTTATATTAATAATGTTAATAATTTTATTATTTGGTTATTTTCTTAGAGAAACTAGCTCTTAATTTTTATAGCTTTCGTTAGACACAACGCATAGACCATTAGCCAAATATTAAATATTAGACAAGCGTGTAGTGCAGTGTTCTTGGCATGGCTTACGTTGGCACGGTTGAAAAGTTACGGTTTTGAAACTTCTTCTTTTTTTTTAAACGTTACCCCCACACTACGATTTTCTTCTGTATTGTAGAGGCAGTTTACATACATATATTTCACAAGGACAAACATTCAGACCAGGAACAATTCATACAAATAAGTACACGATCATTTCCTAAGCCACTGCGCCACGGAGCCGTCAAAAAGTTACATGATAATTTTTTAATTGATCAGTCATAAATTATTATTTATGAAGTAAAACTTTATCAGGCTGACTTCGGGGTAATACAGATTCCTTTTAGGAGCGAAGTAACGATCGGTAAAATCTATAATATAGTTACGCAGTTTCTGCATTTGTTATTTAAATTAGACTACCTACAGTTTATAATAAGGCACACTAGGCACTGACTTAGGGCATCACTGCAGGTCATCGGTTATTAAACATCTGATAAAAAATATCACTTAAATTCATAAGCAAGAGCTATGTGTAAAATTCAACCTTTAAGCATTTCATAGACAAAAGAAACCCCCAATTTGACATACGTCAGGGGTTGGTTGTTGACTGTCCAAATTTTGTCAACCAAACAATCCCCTCAGGATGATTCAACTTTGTATGAAATCCGAGAAATTTGCACACAATTATAATTTTGTCTATGTTTGGGTTGGGCGTGTAAAAATAAAGTGAGATAAAGATAGCGCTGTTTCTTTTCTTCGCGTTGTTTCAGCTTGCCATTTTAAAAATTAGATACAAAATACATTTTATATCGGAAGAAACTGAAAATGTTAATTCTGTGTTATATGTTTTTTGTTTGCTCCTTAGAGTACAATTACATACATATTACTGTGAGATTTGTATAATTAATTTACCTATTAATTTATTAAAATGAAGTTATAAGTTACTATATTACCAGAATTTTATCAAAAGAAAGCCATGATTTAAAAGAAGAAAAAATGAAATTTGTTTGTCAACGTCTTTCATACTGAGAATATTTTCTGAAATTTATTCAAATTTATTTAATATGTTTAGATTTTAATATTGCGTTTTGCTTAAATTCAGTTATTATCTGTTCAGAATACTTCATTTTCGTTTGTAAGCATTTCTTAGCCATTGTGTGTCTAAAGATTTTTTGTGAGATGTTGACTCTAAATGAGATATTGACTATAAACTAATATGTTTAAAATGCACTATGTGTGATCAGAATCGAGAGTAAGTTAAGTGCAAACAAAGAGCACAAAATCATCTGATTACTTATCATTACTTACATTATTATCTACTACAGAAGAAGAAAAACTTTTGACAATATTGTGGTAAGTCTTTAAGTATTTTGAATTTATGGATATTTGTACGGATTATTACGATATAGACTCGAACTTTATTTTTTTCAGATCAGGTATTTGGGCTGAATTAAGTTTTCACAATACGAATTTTGCTGATTTCAATTTACGTTAATGTTCTGTGAAGAATAACTCTCACAATAACGTATATTATATATCAATAACATGCGTGGAAATATAATCTGCAAAAGCAATAAAAACATCAGTAATAATTGTATAGTGTATAAAACAATCAGTCTTCCAAAAAATAAAATTACATAACTATATGTACCTACTTTTAGTTTTATTTTATCCTACATGCGCGTCTAAGTTAAATCGAGTAATTTTGTTGTAACCTCTCACGTATGGAAATTCGCCCAATAGATTTCTCAGGCTGGAGCCAAAATTACTCGAATTTGCCTTAAATAAACTAACAGTTTAAAAGTTACAGAATACAAAGGTTTCAATTCCCGCTAAAAAGTTTTATATGGGCGCCCACCGTGGCGCTTGCAGTGTACACTCATAAACACGTGTTTCCTTTTTTAATAATTGTGTTGTGCCTTAGCTTATAACTTCATATCATGAAACGTATTTTGGAGGAATTGTGGAATACAAGCCACAAAAAAGTTCAATTAGCTATAAAATTGCTAGTTTATCTGCGACACTGTGATTGCTTATCCGCTTTTCTTCTGTAATAAATTTCATTTCTGCTGCCGTCAAATGATTCGTACAAATGGAATTAATAATTTTTAGCAAGTTGTAATATACCGGGTGTCCAGTAGGAAAGTTTAATTTTCAAATTTGAATTACGATGCAACGGTAGGCGCGGTGAAGTGGGGAGAGATCAATCGACGCGTCAGGCTCAGGCGATCCATCGATGGAGCGTTTGGACCGGAGCGCGACTTGCTTTTGCTGTCGAAGCTTACTTTAAGAGTGGTGATCGTGCGTTGCTGCGCTTCGGAAATTTTGTTCTCAATACAATATTCGCCGACCAAGAGATGCCCAAAGTGTACACCTTTTAAAAAAGTGGATTAAGAAGTTTCGTAAAACGGGTTCTACCATTAATCAACCCATTCTAGGCCGCACACCTACTGTATCAAGCCAGGAAAATGTGCGCCGAGTAAGTGATTCGGTCCTTGCAAATCCGCGGTGTTGTTTACGGAAGCATTCGGCTATTTTGGGAATCCCTAAATAAACAGTTCACGTAATAGTTACAAATAAAAATGCGTTTTCATCCCTACAAAATACAGTTAGTGCAAGTTTTAAAAGTAAGTGATTACGCAAATCTTGTGCTGAAAAGATGTTGGAAGTTTTTCCTACACAGCGTAGACTCAATAACGTTGTTTTAGCGATGAGACACATTTTCATTTGGAGGGTTATGTAAATAAAAAAATTACAGATATTGGACACCAACGAACCCAAAAGAGAGACATCAACGGTAGTTACATAGTCCAAAGGTGACTGTTTGGTGCGCCATAACCTCTAGCGGGGTTATTGGGCCGTTTTTTTTGCGAATGAGAACGGTCATGCTTTGACGGTCAATTCGGAGCGATAGAAGAACATGATCGACAATTTTTGTGCTCCTATTGTAAGAACGAAACGCCGTTTTAACAGAAACACATGGTTCAAATAGGATGGAGCCACTTCCTATACCTCCAGAGTCGATGGACACGGTAAAGGCACTTTTTCCGATATCGAGGTTTGGATACATCTACTGGACACCCAGGTCGCCCGACCTCAAACCATGTTGATTATTTTCTGTGGGGCTATCTAAAGTCAAAAGTTTATTCAAACAAACCAAGAGCACTAGCGACGCTGAAAGAAAATATCCGGCAAGAAATAAACAATATCTCCCTGCAACTCTGCAAGAAAGTGTTTAAAAATTTGCGTGTCCGATTATAAGAATGTGTACGAGGCGATGGTAACCGTTTGGAGGGAATGATATTTAAAAATTAAAACTCGCTGAGTTTCTTAATATTGTCATATTAAATAAATATTTTGTATTCATTAACTTAGTATTCTTTTTCTTAAATCGAAAAATGAACTTTCCTACTGGACACTGTATTATGTAAGTACTTTGTATTAACAGTAATACAAAGAACAATACAATATAATATAAAAATAATTTTCTTATGATAATAACAAGCGAATTGATTAGAATTATAATTTTAACGTTTCTTTCATTTGTTTTAAATTTTTATTTACTGCCAAAGTGACACCCTGAAGAATTTTCATACGAAACATAATTAAATAATATACAATGCGAGACATGAAATTCTATTCAGGTAGAGGTATTCTTCAGTAGTTGTTTATGAAAAACGAAGAAGCAAGATTAATTCAACATTCAATAGATTTCGGGGGACCATCGACTATAGAGTACCCTTAACCGACGAGCGTGTATGCGTAGATATATGGACGTAAAAGAGGCGAGAGGTGTGTCAGGATCGCGCCAAATGGAAGTCCGTAGTCTCTGCCTACCCCTCTGGGTGACAGGCGTGAGTGTTTATGTATGTATGTATGTATCGACTATGAATGACTGTGAATAAATTTCAGTATAAATGTTTTATTATGGGAAAATAAAAATGCATATTACTAGTCAATGAAAATAGCAATGAATCTCTCGCTATTACAAATGCACAAAATGCATTTAGATCTGATTTACTGTGAAACACACCAAATCCGTAAATGTGTATATGATATCAATATCCACAATGTCTTTTTTTAATATTATTTCATTTGCATGTATTTTCATTTATAACTATGCAAATTAATAGTCAAAAGGAAGCCACCAACTACTCATATCCGGCGCTGTGTGAATTCCCAGACCAACTTCAAAGCCGCGAGACGCCTTTTGCAGTATAATTTTGCTTCATTTGTTTTTCAAAAACTTCTATCTACTAAATACATGTAATTTTGACTAAAATATATCACAATCCTTAAAAAGTTTCATTACAAAACATGGTTTACTGATTGTTTCGGGTTTAAACTATGATTGACAAGTTCCTGAGCTGCGGCGTCACCGACATTTGCTATCAACCGTGAGACTTCTTTCATGAAATAGATTTTAGTTTAAGCCGTAATAAAGTGGATTAAAAATTGTGGGAATTGAGGGACATAGGTACTTTAAGGATTGTATTAATATAATATATTCCTAGCAAAAGCAAGATTAATTGCTTAAAAGGAAGCTCTAAATACTTAAAAATTGTATTAGGCTTAGTTACCGTAATAAACTATTTTGTTTGTAAACTACTTGTAAGTTTCAAAATTATCTCTACAATGGTTTAAGTCTGCTACTAAATCCTAAATTATTTATTTAGCAAAATTCTCAGAATGGACATTAAGTAACCGTTTCCTCAGTACCTTACTCAAGCACATACTTGCAAGAGGTTACTAATAAAGTAATAAGTATAAGTATATATATAATTTTAAAAAAGAAAAAAATATATAAAAAGAGATAAATGAGAGTCGTGGGGTTAAGCGCGCGCTGTAACAATCCGCGAGCAATCCGGGTTCGATCCCCGATGGTGCCGAATGAAATTGTAAATTGCAATTTTAAGTGCTGATTTACCACGTGCTCGGCGGCGAAGGAAAACATCGTGAGGAAACCTGCATGTCTGAGAAATAAGAAAAAAAATATTTCGAAGTTCGTCAACACGCATTGTGGCAGCGCGGCGGACATTTCGTTGCCCTAAACCCTCTCAGTAATGAGAGGAGGCCTGTGTCCACCAGTGGGATGTATATATGCTGTAACTTTAACCTTTATAAGTAAAAATTAAGAGCTTTAAAATACTAAAACAAGAAAATGTATATAGATTACTGTTAAATAATTTTCTTATGTAAAATGGTTTTACATACTTCCCAAAATCAAAATCGATTTGCGAAAGTTCATATTGCACGAGTGACCAAATGCCCCACATAAAATGTGACGCCAAGGACATCTGTTGAACCTCTTTGAATACCTTTTCCACTTCTGTTTCACTTGGATCCTTACTTAAATAATCGGATAAATATGTACGTATCCAAAACATTTGATAATCTTTGCTTGGGTATCGACTGTAATCGATATCATCGATTGACAAACCTGCAATGAAAAAAATAAAACAAAATGATACTTTCAAAACCTAAGAAACACTTTCAGCTGCATCAACACTATATGAGCTAGATTTATTTACTAGCAACTAGTGTTCCAGTACATTAACTAAGTACAGGACTACTTTAAATTTTTTTGTAAGCGTTTTAGAATGCTTTTTATTACCCACGCCGCGCCGAAAGGTGTATGCGTTTAGGACGAGAGGTTGTTTGTGTTTGCAAACGAATATTCCCATTTATATTCAAAATGGTTTCACTGATTTAGATACAGTTTTCTGTAATCGATTTTTAGACAGGTATTGTGTGGTATGTATTAACACCATAGTCAAGAAGCGCTGCAATATTTCGCTCGTTTATAGCATTTTTCCCCGAGAAGGCTTGACCGATTTAGATGCGTTTTTTGTGAAGTGATTCTATTTGTGTTTGATAGTACCAAACCACCAGGGAGCACTATTGCGCTTTTTTGTGAAGAGCTTAAGATTTTGGGCCCTTTTGATAGGACTAGGTGAGTAGCATATGTACATGAACCGCTGATTGTCTGATGATGAAGCAGAACAACATCGTAGGGAACTCTGCGAAGGCAAAAACTGGTAAACCGTGTTTGGGCTCTTCGATAGTGTTTGGTGAGTAGCTTCTGTCTATGAACTGCTGAGGGTCTGATGATTGAACAGAAAAACATCGTAGGAAATGATGTGGAAACGAACGCTATTTCTTTTGCATTTCAATGATATGTTGCAAACCGGTAACATTGATTGCGATGCGGATGACAGCACTGGTGATGCTCTATACACGGCGGACCAATATTTTTCAGGAAAACGTGAGCTCCACTTGGAAAAAAAGGTCAAATTGGCCTGTAAAAAGCTTGGCGAGCTCAGCAGAGCGGAACAATATTTCACGACGGCACACCGCCTGCAACTTTACAAGGCGCAGGTTTGTCCTCACATGGAATACTGTTCCCATTTCTGGGCTGGGGCTTCCTAATGCCAACGCCTTCCCCTTGACCGCATCCAGCGCAGAGCGGCTCGAATTGTCGACGAACGAGTCCTTTCCAATCGACTTGATTCACTGGCGCTGCGAAGAAATGTTGCTTTCCTTTGCATTTTATTTCGCATGTAGATGGAAAGGGAGTGCTCTGAGGAATTGTTCGGATTAATTCCAGCCGCCAAATTTCACGAACGCACATCGCAGCAAAACTCCCGATACTATCCACACTCCATTTGAACGCTTGGCGGTTTGCAGTTTTCTTCCGCGTACGACCTCTCTGTGGAATAGTTTACCACCGGCGATTTTTCAGGACCTATACGACTTAGGGACCTTCAAAAAAAGAGCTTACTCCTTTCTAAAAGGTACAACGCACAGGCAATTCCCCTGGTTCATGGGCGGTGTTAGTCACTTACGTTACGATTACCCCCTGCCCTATAAAAAGAAATATCGTCTAACTGGAATAAAAAAATCTTAATAAAATTGGAATGTATTAATAAACTTGGTCCGGTTGATTTTTAAAGGAAAAAAAAATGCGTGTAGTAAAGCATTACTGCAGTTTGTATGAAAGAAGAAGAAGAAAAATACTTCTGTATGCGGTATAATAGAGACGTTTAGTAAGTAAAAAGAGATATCATTGAAAACTTGTTTTTAATCCTAATTTATAGAAGCTAATATCGTATAACAATAACATCATGGTAAAGTGATCATGAAACGAAACGTAGTAGTAAATTCTAATAATCTCTATACCTACAGGGTTATTTTGCAACAACCGGCCAAATATGCAGAGAAGGTTCAGAATAAGTAATATAGGCACATGGTGGAGGAAATATAATAAAAAAAAAAACTCAAACATTCTGTATTTTTTATCTTTTAAATTCAAAATGCGTGGTAATGCATTATTTTAACTGATTTCATTCCGCTCGCACACATTCGGAAGGGTCGATCGGTAGGCAAAAACGTTATTGCCCATAAATCACATTCAACTTGGGATAATTTAAAAAAAAGTAGAAGTCTTTACTTGTATTTTCAAAACATCTCTGGATGGCTTAGATTCACAAATGGACCCGGTAAATTGAAAAAACATACAAATAAGTGGGAAACAGAGAGACGTTATCTTTTAGAACATGTAAAGATAAGTAAGTCAAGGACCTTAATTTGATATCTTTAAATTTATTTCAAGTTATCACAATTTTGTGAGTGATGTATAGTTCAACCTTATTCATAACAAAATATAATACAGCTAGCAAACAAAATATAAATGATATAGAAAAATAATAAAATAATACAACAGAATGATACTAAATACAACCATCTGTTGTATGATGATGTCCTCCTAACAGTTTTCGATTATGGTGAGATATTCCAAATACTGTAGTAGAGAAAATTAAGAGAGAGAGAGAGAGAGAGAGAGAGAGAGAGTTATATAGTAAAAGCACACAGACTGCGTGAGCAACATGTGTGCGTGTGGTAATGTATAAAATTGTATGATGCAAAACAGTTTCTTTTGAAGCGCGTGTGAACGCGACCTTATTGGTTTATTAGATTAAATTGTTTTGACCGAGACAACTATTATGCTCACTGAGCACGTATTGATTCTCTCACGCAAATAAAAGGTCTGTCAGCTTGCAGTTAACAAGTTCCTTCGATAACAACACCTCAGACCAATCAAACAACCTAAGCAACTTCATGGTTTTTACGATAACTCTTTTTAAAGTTTTTAAATATAATATTTTCCTCTCATGATATACTTTCCACAATGTTTATCAAAGTGTTTTATTTGTATAAATGTATCGCTATCAGTATATTATGAAATAAGAGAGCAACCATTATTAATTATGAGATAAGCATGCACAATCAGCAAAGATGTTTTTAAACAAGTTCTTATTTCACTGTAACATTTTATTCTGTATAATATACAATATTATGTAGTAAGACATATAAACCGGTCAAGTGCGAGTTGGTCTCGCGCGGGGACTCTCCATCTCCTCCATCGTAAAACACGTTTCTAGTAGGGCAGCTCCATTTAATTTTTAATTAATTTTTATTATTTGGTGTTATAACGGCAACAGAAATACACATTTTGTGAAAATTTCAACAGTCTAGCTATTACGGATCAAGAGATACAGCCTTCTGACAAACAGACGGACGGACGGACAGCGGAGGCTTAGTAATAGGGTCCCGTTGATTACCCTTCGGGTACGGAACCCTAAAAATGTTGCCTAAATACGCTGACTTATAGAAATAATGAATTACCAAGGACTAAATTTCATCCATTATTATTCTAGCCATTACAGCCTATGAAATTCTACAACTGAACATAAGCCTACCCAATACATGGCCTCTTAAGAGGAATTTTGTCACAGTTGCCATGCCTGGCATGCGGGTGAGTAACTGCAGCTTCTTTATTATTTTGAGTTAGTACCAGGAAGATGCCGCTGTCCACTTTCTGTTTCAGTTCCCCCTGTCTACCTTTACGACACTCATGGAATAACATAGGGTTTTTTTTATAGAATAAGGGTGACAAACGAGCACACAACCAACCCGATGGTAAGTGGATGTTGTGGCCCATAGACATCTACGTTTATTCTCTATTAAGAATCAAAATGCAGATGCGCTGTCATCTCTGAGAACTAAAATGGAATGCCTCGTTTCCAGTAAAAAGGATCTCCGGTTCTCTCCACTCACCATACGAAACAGCATTGAGCTGCTATTTTATACGCTAGTATTCTGTGATAGCGTGCTCCTATCCCGGTCGAACCAACTCATCGTGCTACAACTGTAATATAGCTGCAGCGTGGCTCTACCACGTTAAGGATAATAGGTACATTTTCTTACACCGCAATTAAGTATATTTGCATTTTCTCGCGCACGCAATAATGTCAATAACGATTATCACTGGATGCTTCATATAACTTTTCAGTTAACACTAGTGTGTACTAAGTGTTCAGAATAGAACATTTATTGGAACATTTATTACATTTCGCTCTGACAACTGACAAAATAGCCGTAGATCTTTCCGAAACGTTGAAGTCAAATCCTACAGATTGGTGATGTGAAGCAACATTGTTGGTTCCACATTATCTGCTCAACTCATGTTGTAACGCCCATGTTAGTTAGTTATTTAAGATAATGAATGTTGAAAACAAAACTACAAATCGTTTCGAAGTAGTTACATTACATTATAAATAAATTCTAATGTGAATATGTACGGCAAAATTCGAGATCCACACCATCTGGATGATTGGCGGTCCACCACTGTGCGATTTACAAGAAGTTTTCTTCCTCGCACAACTGCCTTGTGGAATCGACTACCACCAGCGATTTTTCGGGCCAACACCACTTAGGGACCTTCAAGAAAAGAGACTAATCTTTTTTAAAAGGCCGGCAACGCATCTACAATTCCTCTGGTGTTACAGTTGTTCATGTGCGGCGGTAGTCACTTACCATCAGGTGAACAGCATGCTCGTTTGCCCCCTCTCATACAAAAAAAATGTATAGTAAACAAACTGTTCCATACTCACCCACGTACTCGTTGAAATGGTTTGCTATGTCAAAAGCTTGGTAGTTATAAGCGGCATATTCATAGTCAATGAACGATACTGTCCCTTTAGATTCATTGTAGATCACGTTTCCTAGAAGCAAATCATTGTGAGCAAACACTATTGGGCTCTCAATATTGATTAAGCGCAACTTTAGTCGTTCAAACTCTATCCTTAGTCTTGTTACCGATCCGAAACTATTGGCAAATCTACAACAGCGGACAAAATGGATGTATTAAAATTTGGAATGTCAATATTTCGGATAGTAAAAGAAATTTATATTTTGATATGCCATTGTTAAACAAAAATAAAACTAATAGAGTATTACCATGTGGCTGTGTAGCGGCCAAGTAAAGCTATCAACATATTCATATCGTGGGGGTCAAAAAATCGAGGAAAAACGATAAAGTCTTGAAGTATAGGAGAGATGGATGTAAAAAAATGTTAAATTTAAAATTACCGTACCAAACTCGTGTGGTATCTAATATTGCGATCGCCTATCTGCCTGTCATGTGTAGCTATTATATAAATCTGATTTACGTTGGATTAATGGTAACACTGAATGTAATATAAAATAAAGTTTTAAGTAAAATATCACAAGCTTCAGTATCGGATTGCCCTACAATGTCGAATTAGAGAATGTAAGAATTTACAAATCGTAAACTTACTGATTAAAACTTAACATGTTTTCGAAATATTTTTCTATTTCTCGACCCTCTGGTTTCCCCACAGTCTCTTTCTTACCACTGAGCACGTGGCCCATCAACACAAAAATTCAGACAATCTCAATTATGAACTCAAACTTCACAATGTACCATCTACAAAATATCATCCATATAATTATCACTTACACGTTTCTAGTATTTCACGTTTTTAGTATTTATCTATTGATAATTTAATTTTTTCAATCTTCATTGATTTAACACCTAATGTTATCATCCTGGTTACTGAGTAGTGCTTGATATTTTACTACGTAGTGGGGCTTCTTTACTTTTTAGGAACCCTTCGGGGTTAGTATCAAGCTTTTATGTATTACCGCTTGGTGCAGTACATCTCTATTGTTGTGTTCCATTTAGAAAAGTTAGAGCGCTAGTATCATTACAGACTGAAAGACATGTCGTCTCTAATCTCCTAAGTAATAACACATCTGTGAATTCATTAGCTACAGCAGTCACTCACAGTCAAGATTAGCTCATAGTTTGTTTATAAAATTAATGTTATATAAAAACTATAGAGTTCTCTGCATTGGGTAAATTTTCCTCAATCATTACCACACTCGGCGTTGGCTATATCACCAGAAACTCTCAACCAAAACTTAAAGTAACATAATAAACACTCCACTTCTTCAGACAATAACCTTGTTGTGGCTATCATACTTACGAAATTTTGAAATAAACTGAGCAAAAAGTAATAGTGAAATTAAAAGTAAACATTATATCATGCATATGTAATTACAGGGTTTTGTTTGATACCAAAACCAAAAAATATATCTAACCTGATTTGTTTCACTTTCTCTGTAAAAGACTCTGGTATCAAACTTAAAAAATTTTCAATTTTATCCCAAAGCAAAGGTTCTTTTTTGATCTGAAAAAAAAAATGTACACATACTTATTGAATTATACTATCACGACTTTTGGAACAACTTAAATTAAGTATTTGATTTAAGAACGAAGAAGGTTTGTGCCTGGGCAAGATGTAAGGATGCAAGTTTGCAGCGGCTCGTGAAGTTGCGGAGTGGTATTGTAAAACTACTGGATAGATTTGTACTATAGTCTACTGATAGATTCAGGTTTTATAACTTATATTTCTTAGATACTTGGCCCTTATCTAAAAAAAATATTGCGATATCTTCATTTAATATAAAGTTATTAAAGTTTTAAGAAACAACGATTTTTATAAGCACTACGTGTTCAGTGACGTGTGTTTTCTTGCCGCGGAGAAGTGTATCAGCTAGTCTTGGATGAATTGTGATACTATTATCGGTCAAATCATTACGCCTTACAAATACTCCGCTTACATCTGTGCTATTTATAGACCATCAAGTGGAAATAAACACCTGTTTGCAAAGGAAATAAGTAATCTACTATCTCATTCTACGTTTCAACTATGTGACACTTGTGTGTTGGGTAACAACAAAGATCTTAAAAACGTGCGACAACATTCGGCAACCCGCACTGATTGTACACTCTTGATGTCTTACAGTTTTACACCTTTCTGCAGTTAAATAGGTTTCGTACTTTGGTTTTGTACTCGGAAAAATTGTAACGGGACTGTAGAACCGCATAAATTTCGATGGAATCAAAGACTTTTATATAGTGAACATACGCAAGACAAAGTGGCGAATTGTACCTACTCTTCGATCTTCTGCACAATTTGCCGAAGGGTATGTACGTGGTCTATGGTACTAAAGTTTAGTTAGTACCGGCTTGTTCGGGAGGCTGGAAGTCATCAAGCACGCGATTCGTAATGACTCTTCAAAACAGCACGTAGTCGCGGTTTAGAAGGGAAATCGGTCTATAGTTCCTTGATAGAGCGATGTCGCCTTTCTTAATGAACAAGATCAACACTTTTGTACCACGCGTCCGGAGTAGTACCACCACGGAGGACAGAATTGAAGGACTTTAAGTACTGGTTTTCTCCCCTTTAGAAGCTCCGCTGTAAGTCCATCCTTGTCTGTGACCTTGCCTATGTTGCCGGGTACTAATTTCGCTCAGACTGACGTCCGGGAAATCATCGAAATAATGTCAGATGAGACTTGCTCTTAGGTCGTTACTCACACATGCGTGTGGCTCTAACGGCAATGTGTACAGCTGTACGTAGAACGTCTCAATCTCGCTCAAAATTTCAGGTGTCTTGGAAAATACGCGACCGCAGTCTGTCTTCAACAGTTGGCTCTTTCCGGCAGACAGATCTCTGTGGTGAAGACTTTAGAATCTTAGTTCGGGTCAATCGCTTCTTCAATTTTTATTGTATTAAAATTGCGTAAGTCTTGCCGCATACTTTATCTATTCGGCTGCCGGTGTGTATGAAAACACTGTTAAAGACTGTAACTTAATTTTTCGTCTAACTGCCATGAGATTAAGAGTGTTATCGGAGAGTATTAGGTTTTTTTGCGACGGGTCTTGCAGAACTTAACTCCGATAGCATGGACAATTCTCACGAGCTTGTTTTTTATATCGTCTACAGTATTCGATCTGAAGGTTTTAGGATTTTTTTAAATTTAAATTAACACACGTGGCTAACAGACTAGCCGTAGCCCGGAACAGCGGAACAGCGGGTTTTCTTGTCATTGGGGTAAGTTCATCATGGGGGTGTTTCCAAAACTTGCCATGCTTGACAGGCGAGTTGGTAACAACATTTTTTTATATTAAATATGAAAATTTAGGTTGAAATATATCATACTAGGTGGCAGCACTTTCTACGTACTTATGTCATACTCAGTTAATGCTTGCAATGTCTGTATCGTGTCGTATATAGTAAATAAGTTTTGCATTGACTATAAAGTGTTATCTTAATTTAGAAATCCATAACCCAATAGGTTATGGGCCCAGGAAACTCTGGACATAGAAGTACAAAAGAAATATGCAAAGACAAAGTTACAATCGTATTTGAGAAATAGTTCACAAAATAACCTCAAAATGGATTCCATTCGGCCAATAAATTTAGAAAAATTTGATGGGAACAACTTTCGTCAGTGGAAATTCCAGATAAAATGCGCTCTAAAAGCTAAAGGAATAAATATTTCGAAACCGAAACCACAAGGTGACTGTACAGATTGGTTGAAAAGTGACAGCATGGCAATGTACATCATATGTATATCAATGGACTTCAAACACATTACACTAATAGAAAATTGCGAAACTGCCTTGGAGATTATGTCAAAATTAGAATCAATCTATGAACAGAAAAGTGAACTGTGCAAAATGTTAATCCACGAAAAATTTTATCAATACAAGATGGCGCCGACTGACAGTGTAGCTCACCACATTTCAAAAGTAGAAACCTTAGCTAAACAGCTGAAAGAAAGCGGTGAAGCTATCAGTGACATGGCAATCATAACAAAATATTGGGAACTTTGCCTTCCAAGTACAGAGCACTGCAACAAGCATGGATGTCATTGGACTCAAAACAACAAACTATTGTTAATCTTACTGCACGTTTATTGGACGAAGAGGCGAGCTTAGCAGGTGAAGGAGAACAGGAGACTGCTCTTCTTGTTGCCAATAAAGGGTGGAAAACAAAGCCAAAACAAAATAAACAAGTAGCGAGTGAGAGCAATACAAATCAGAATAATATAGCTAAGAAACATAGGTTTGAATGCTATAATTGTGGCAAGCGGGGGCATTTCGCCAGAGAATGTCGTGCTCCAAGACAATCCAAGGCTAGAAAACCTCGGCAAGAAGGTGCAGATATGTTAACATTTTATGTGGAAAATAATTCATGTAATGCTGAAAAGAATACTTGGATTCTAGATAGCGGTGCCTCTGCCCATATGACATTTAGAAAGGATTTCTTTGTGGATTTATCTGAATGTAACCAGAAATCATTGACATTGGGAAATAAACAATTTATGGAAGTATCTGGCATTGGAAAAGTGATGATACAGAGATATGTCAATGAACAGTGGGAGACCAGTGAACTGAATGACGTGTTGTATGTTCCAAGTTTAAGAAGAAACTTATTCTCTGAAGGGGTAATCATATGAAAATTATATTCTATTGTAAAGAAAGACACAAGTGCCCTGATTTATAAAAACAATAAAGTGGTGATGAGTGCAAATATTAAAAAAAAAACAATTTATATGAGTTGAACATAAAAACAGTGGTTCCAGATACATGTAACTTGGTTCAAAATAGCCAAAGTGATATGAAAATATGGCATGAGAGGTTAGGGTAGGTAGGTAGGTTATATTAATATGAAACAAATTAAAAACATGAGTGCAAATAATGTTGTGAATGGACTGGAAATTATTGACAATGGGAAGCAGTGCAAGTTTCCATTTCACAAATCTGTGCGAGGAGAACTACAGCCAGGTGATCTAGTTTATAGCGACGTTTTTAGATCTATGAGTATCTCATCTATTCAAGGTATGAGATATTTCTTACTATTCAAGGACGCTGCAACAAGTTACAGGCATGTGTATTTTATGGAACATAAAAGTGATGTCATGGAAACCTTCAAAACATACAATGCTATGATGAAGAATAAATACATGCACAATGTCAGAATATTACATACCGACAATGGAACAGAGTATGTAAATAAAGCTTTCAAAGAGTATTTGGAGAGACAGGGGAGGGACAGGTTCATGAACGTACTGCTCCATATACGCCAGAACAAAATGGTAAAACAGAAAGGGAAAATCGTACCTTAGTTGAAAGTGCACGTTCAATGTTGTATGCGTGAGATGTCCCATTGGGGCTGTGGGCAAAAGCTGTACAATGTGCTACATATATATTAAATAGAACATCCTCCACCCAGACTCCAAATACAACACCTTTTGAATTATGGAACGGAATCAAACCACAATTAGGACATGTGAAAGTGTTTGGTAGTATAGGCTATGTTCATGTTCCAGATCAATTAAGAACAAAATTGGAAAAGAAAAGCAAGAAAATGATACTAGTTGGCTATGAAAATATCAACTACAGAATGTATGATGTGAATACAAAGAAAATAACTATCTCAAGAAATGTAATGTTTGATGAACATCATGTTCCAAGTACAAGGAAAATATTGCACAAATAAGTATTGTTGATGATGAAGTTACAAATGTGAATGAGAGTGAAGCACAAGAATCTAATGTGGATGATACTCTAGTTGAGACCCAGACTATGAACCATCTCGAGAATTGGAAGATTCAACAATACATACCACGGACATAGAATTTTAGACCACGGATCAATACAAATTATGAAGCAAATTTGATAGAGCTGTCATTGCCTCAAACATATGCAGAAGCACTGAATAGTCCACAAAAGGCTGAATGGTCTAAAGCTATAAAAGAAGTATTGTCAGCACATAAAGAAAACCATACCTGGACTGCGGTTGAAAGGTCTGGTCAACGAACCCTTATTACCAAGTGGGTTTACACCATAAAGAAGAATGAGAATAATCAGATTGCACGCTATAAGGCTCGTTTATGTGCACGAGGGTTCAATCAGATTAAGGATATTGATTATCAAAAAATATTCTCTCCAACAAGCCAGAAAGTATAATTCTTATGATTCTATAAGAATTATACTTTCTGTTGCTGCAAAGTATAACTTAAAAATTCAACAGTTTGATGTAAAGACTGCCTTTCCATATCTTGTCTCAAGAATCACCTTTCGTACTACAAAATTCCGTACCCGCAATACTACATTGTTACAGACTCCCTGGCATCATTCAAACTACTGTCGAAACACTGTTCTTTCGCGGCTTGCTCGTACATATAATGAACAATTTGGACACATTGACCTCTTTGCGAAATCTAAACTTACGTTTAAAGATTACATCAAGAAAACTATTACGAAATAGAGCAGTTGAAGTTAAAATCACATACAATCATATATTCTCTCATCTATTTCTTCTATATGTATTTTTGAGGCTACTAATATAAATATAAGTACTTAAGTTATTTTATTTAATATATATTATAATTAATTATTTGTATTATGTTTATATATTTAAACATTTAATATGTATATATACATAAGTAAATAATATATATGTATGTATATATATATATATCTTATATGTTTATATATATATATATATATATATATATATATATATATATATATATATATTTATATATATATAATGGTAACGTAATATATCATTCTACCTGACTATCTCTCCTGATCTGTAAACTTATTACCACCTTCATTACATTGAATTGCTTATAATTTTGCTTATAATTTATCTATTAGATTGTTCTTTTTCCTTTTCTTCTAACAACAATACACCTACCATCAAACAATATAAGGGAAACCTGTTATTGGCCATACTTTAAGTTTGTTACATTAATGTTAATATTTTCTATATACGCTGTTGGTTTTCTAAATAAATAAATAAATAAATAAATAAATGTGCAATGGGGAAAGCAATGATCTAGTTGCATATTCAGATTCAGATTTTGCAAGTGATATTGATACACGTAAATCCACTACAGGATATTTGTTTGTGATCAACGGAGGACCAATCACATGGTCCAGTCAAAAACAGAAGACCATTTCTCTCTCCACCACAGAGGCTGAATTTGTAGCTGCTAGTGAATGTGCTAAGGAGATATTGTGGTTGCAGCAGCTATTGTCTGATTTAGGTGAAAGTTATGATTGTATCACAGTGAATATAGATAATCAGAGTGCAATCAGATTAATTAACAATCCTGTTTATCATAAAAGGACAAAACATATAGATGTTAAATATAACTTTATAAGGGAAAAGGTTGAATTGGGTTTAGTTAAAATTAATTATGTTCCAAGCAATTGTCATTTAGCAGATATTTTAACTAAAGCATTACCCACTCAAACCTTCGCATATCTGACAGATCAGATTTTATATAATGTCTCATTTTGTTAGTTTATACTTTATAGATAGAGACATTGTAACTGAGTATGCTTGCATTGACTATAAAGTGTTATCTTAATTTAGGAATCCATAACCCAATATTTTATATCCTAAGTGTTATTAGGAAGACGTTACTGCCCATTTCCTGGTTTGTTTCTATCTGTGCTTTTTCTGCCGACTTCCAAAAAGGAGACGGTACTCAATTCGACTGTATGTTTTTTTTTATGTGTGTTACCTCATAACTTTTTACTGGGAGTATCTCGTATGGTCCCATATGAATTTGATCATAGTCAGACCAATAGTTTTTGACTTATTCTTAATAACTCATATTGAAGTCGGCTGTACAAAATTTTTAATTTTAGATTATATGACACCAACGGGACGATAAAGTGTATTCTAAACAGGGTTGTTGCGGATATCTGCAACCGTATCTACTATTGCGCAACTTCTGCATTGATTTAGAAATCCACATCCACGATAATCGATGCAGAACTTTTGCGAATACTGATGTGATACAAGTTGCGACAAAAATTGGACGGAGCCAGCGAATAGAATGTGTCGTGCGCATGTATAGTATTTTCCTTCAATGCACCAATTTTTTAAATTATTATGCTAATAAATTTATTTCAAATAAAAAATAATTCCATTTGTTTAATTTATTCAAGTAGTTGAAATATATTTCATAAAAAGTTGAGTTCCGCATCTGCGGATTTAAGCGTCAAATAATTATGCACAAAATTCTGCATCTGTAACATCCCCAATTCTAAGGGTAGGTTTATATGAACGCGCGAAGACGCGCGTCACCGCGCGGTTGGAGCATTCACATGACGGCACATGTACGCGCGGCAGTCTGGCATCTTCGCTACTCATTTTTCCTGCATCTATATGCTTCAGTACGTCTCAACTCGCGCGGATCAACTGAACAGGTTGATATAGGTTTGTAGAACTTCAAACGCGCGGTAACTCGCGGTGTCGCGCGGTTCAAGATCTTGCACGCGGGTTGGAGCGGCGCGGTGATGTGAACGATAATTGCCATTTACTTAGATCTTGTACCGCGCGGTCATGTGAACTTAGCCTAACACCGTCACTGAATGTTTAGAGTTGGATTATAGTTATGTTATTTAAACAGTAATATTATATTTTCATGTTTTAAGTAACATTTTAATTATCACAAAGAACAATAATAAACTCGATGTTAAGTAATGACCCTGAGAACGAGGTGATTGGTAGCATGCTGTTTCTAAATGTTTTTTTTTAAATTAAATTTATGACATATGGGAAGAAATTATTATTAAAAACTTACTTTCTACTGACTTTTTTTAAAGCATAAAGCGAGGTGAAAGCATAAAGGTCTTTAACCGATTCGTTGCGGCACCAATTTTCGACAACTTTTAGTTGTGGCGGCGAACAAATATTTCATGACACGCCGAGAGTGTCAAGCGCCACAGCCATCCGCCATGTGGAAAAGTAATGTTATTTTTTATGCATTTTTTACTTCTTTAGACCTAATTAAGTTTATTTGACATCAAACATAAGTTACAAATGGAAGGATACTTGTTTTTAGTGGGTAACTACGTGTTTTTTTACGCGTTTTCTTTGAAATTGAGAGAAAGTGACTTTTTTTATGAAGAAATTACAAACCTTTTGTACTATTTTTTGTTGTTATAAAAAAAATCATTTATATAAGTAGGTACAGCTAAATCACCCTGGAAACCTTGGTTTTTATTAAATTAAATTTTCACCTAATAATAACATTTGTAAATATAAAACAATGAAGAACCTTAATTTGAAAAAAAAAAAAAGGTATATCATTCATTGATATTTACAAATGTTAAATATTATTTAATGTTATACGATCTGAAAACTTCTAATTAGTAAGAATAGCAAAACAAGTGTTTTCAAAAGGAAAAAAACGCCGTATTAGCGAACTTTTTTTATGCATGGACGGTTTCGAACTGTTTCAAGCAAAAATAAACCTTATACCATATCACAAGAGCACATGGTACTTCGTAGGTCTATTCGGCCATATGATAGTAATAAAGACGGCAATTCAACCATTTTAAGCAAAATTAAACAATAAGACAAACGCATTGTTTTTTTTAACAGGAGTTTTCCAGAAATTTATTTACAACTTGAGTTTGTGAGCGATCGCAATGAGTGCTATTATTTGTTACTCATTAGACAATTTTTCCATAACATGATTTAAAACCCCCAAAGTAAAAATAGTACCATGTACACGTTAAAAAAGGTTGTCAACCCCTAAAAATTTCAAATTTTCAAAATATCCACATCATACGCCATACGCCACACACAAAAGTAATCGATGGCACGCCTGGCGTGTCACCTGCACTGAACCGGTTAAAAGTGTTAATTACAATCTTTATTGAATAAAAAAAGTGTAAAAACAAAAATAAATTATCAATATATATATAAATGTAGGGATGAATATAAAGGAGTACATTAATTCGATTTTACATAAATCATTTTACTTACCTCTTTACTGAGTTGCACTTTGTGCATTTTTGCCATTTGTTGAGCCACCTTAGTTGCTATTTTTGTATCTACCACTGAGTTAACATTGAGCGTTTCCCCAGGAAAATATTCATAAACTAAACCATTCTTAAATACTCCATAAATTTTTGGTGCTAAGCCTAGCACATTGAGGGTAGTGATATTTCTAAAAAAAGTGATAAAAATGGTTATCATCGAAACATAAATAAGAAAATATCAACAAATATCAATATGTGCTGTAAAAACAATGTCCGCTCAAACCAATACAATTTATGTGAATTCTATGATGAAAACTTATAATGTAGCAAATTGAAGCTGGTCTTAGTTTCAAGAATATTTTAAATCCATTTTATAACAAACTAGTTGACCCATGCAACTTCGTCTGCGTCACATGAGAGAGAGAGGGTTAGAGAGTGTGGGTGGTAGGCACCTATAATACATTTCTAAAGGAGCTGAATCTTTCTTTGTCACCAACCACTTGAGAACCATTGAACAAAATATGGTACCTATACCTATAGTGCTATTCTAAAATCACGCGGACGAAACCAAGAGAAAACATTCTTTGTATGTCTGCAATGGGAGGATAATTTGAAGATTGATTTTTTTATTATCTACGTTAAGAGTATAACAGTCTTTTAAAGATAAAATGTAGGTTTTTTTATAGGATAAGGGTGACAAACGAGCACACAGTCCACCTGATGGTAAGTGGTTGCTGTGGCCCATAGACATCTACATCTATCTTGCATTACGAATCAAAATGCAGATGCGTTGTCACCCGTGAGGACTAAGATGGAATGCCTCGTTTCCAGTAAAAAGCGTCTCCGGTTCTCTACACTCACCATACGAAACACAGCAGCGTTAAGCTGCTATTTTACGCTGGTATTCTGTGAGAGCGTGGTCCTTCCCCGGTCGAGCCGACCCATTCGTGCTACAACCATAATATAGCTGCAGCATGGCCATCTACCACGTATAAATTATGTTATTATGTATTAGTATGTGATAATATTGTGTAGGTAACTAATTATATAACGTAGTATTTTAAAGTACTTCTGCATTCACGACATTTTTAGTTTTATTTTGTTGCGGTAGAAGAATATAGCGGTTTTCTCCGCAACCTGATCTTGATAATGCAACATATAATTGTCCGTGTGAAAAACAGTCTCGACGTAAATCGATTCCTACGTGCTGAAATGTTTGCCACTGTGCTTTGTTAATACGGCAAACGGAAAATTGTATTATTCTAAAGTTAAAAGACCAACTACTGGACCAGTCAAAACTATCGCAACAATCACATTGCTGTAAAGACATTTAACTTGGAGTCTGATTCCGTTACATAAACTTGGTGGTTTAAGGTTTCTTAACAAAATTATATGCACAGAATACATGTACCCTGACGGGTACATGTATTCTTTTATTATCGCTCTATGTTCACTCTGCCGTCTATTACAAAAATATGTAATATATGATTATCTGCGTAGTGTAATAATATTTGGATTAGAACAAATAGAATGAAGTAAAAAAAATTTGAAAAAAGGCGGTTAATCGGCGGCGAGTTGACGAAATTAGTATTCCGTCGAATAGTATAATACCACAAGCTAATAAGAAATGCTAGTACGCTGCGTATTTCCAAAGTGCGAGTAGAATAGGAGTTTAAAAATGATTGGATTAGATGCGTTCATAAGAAGTTTAGAGCTCCTTCAATTTTGTAATTATTGATTTGTCATGTCGATAAAATGAACTTAATCAATAATCATTTTTATTTTGTTATAAAGATTATAAGATTTGTAAAGATCGTATATTTTGCGTACGATTTCGAATACATGATCGTACATCGTACTAAGGCCAAATAGATCGTATGAATACGATTTAAATCGTACAGTTGGCAACACTGGGCCGAAGTCGCTACCGCGCACTCCCCACTTCGCACAACATTTCGCATAATAAAAATGCGCGCGCAGTATTTGATCATTACTTTGCTGCGGAGCTATTTTAAAACTATGATGTCTCCTAAGATATTCATTGAAATCAAATGATGTAGGGGCAATTTTGTTCAAAATTAAATACTTGTGATGTATAACGTATTTATTTGGATAAGGATTAATACCATGTTTATAAAAACACCTCGCAAATAATGCATTATTTTAAAACAAATTTGATTACCATAAAAAAGGTTATGGTGAGTCAACCTTAAAAGATGCACACAATATGTTATCGCAAATATTTTTTTTTAGAACTTGATTGTTGCTTAAGTTTAACCGTTTACGCAATGCACGCAACGGAAGTTCTCAAAGGGAAAAAAAAATTCCCCGTTTTTGTTTTCATTGATGCTCCGTTCCTATTGGTCGTAGCGCGATGTTTTATAGCCTATAGCCTTCCTTGATAAATGGGCTATCCAACACAAAAAAATTCTCAAATCAAAGCAAAATTCCTGAGATTAGCACGTTCAACCAAACAAACAAACTCTTCAGCTTTATAATATGAATTATTATAGATACAAAATGTCAACCAATAACTCAGACATATTAAATCTATCTATCAAACCCGACAGCTCCATGGCACAGTAGCTTAGCAATGAGTCACGGCGTTAACGGCTGCGGGTTTGAATCCTGCATAGAACAAGTATTTGTATGGTCTACAAAATAATTGTTCCAGGCCTGGATGTTTGTCCTTGTGAAATTTATGTATAAAAACTGCCCCAACAATACAGAATAAACATTGAGGTATATATTTTACATTAAAAAAAATTTGTTAATAAAGTATGTATGTAAATAATGTTTTTTTTTCTATTTTACTGCTTAATGCACTACTTCCATATCTAAAACCAATAAATACAGTGGTTTCTCGATAATTCAAACCTTGTTAAGTCATAATCCTAAGTAGAACAAAAAAAATTGCCCATCCCTTCCACTGAACCCCTAAAAGGCCTTCTACACGGTCGGAACCAACCACCAACCGTCGTGACCTTGGTCAGGTCAAAGGATTTTTGTATTCGTTCTACACGGTCGGGTGGTTGACTCAACTTGTCAGTTCTCTCCGGTATTCAAAGCGTAAAGACGTAAGGTAGTTACTGTTAAATATGGCTTCTTGCTTTTCTAAACAACAAAAATCGTTTTTTTTTTATTACAAGAACGTTACCCCCACTCTAGGACAAACATCCAGACCCGGAACAATTATTTGTAGGCCATACGTATTTGTATGTTCCGTGCGGGATTCGAACCCGCGGCCCCCAGCGCATCAACTCATTGTTAAGCCACTGCGCCACGGAGCCGTCAAAGGCTTAGCGTTAACATTTCTGTGCTTGAGCAAAGATGAAAAAAAAAGAAAATGGATGAAAGAGCGCATTACTTTAAACCATCTCAATATTTTAAGGATGCTAAAGACTTACGGAATTTTCTAAGAATGGATCAAGAAACTTTTAATGAATTACTTGAGATGGTGCATCCAATGATTACAAAAAAAAAATACAGTTATGCGTCAAGCCGTGTCTGCTGAAGAACTATTAATAGCTACATTAAGATTTTTTGCTACGGGAAGAATTTATAAAGATCTGAGATTTGGTACAGTTACATCATTTCCATAGTGCCGTTAAACGTTCGCCCGCGACGACTACCAAGGGCGCAATGAGGTGCCTGCCGCCTGGCGCTCTCATCGACTCGTCGGCCCACAGCTTTCCACACGGTCGGCGTCAACCACGGATCCGACGTGTCGTGAGTGATGCGCTCGCGACCAAGGCCGTCGGACATCAACCAAAATATTGGTCAGACAACCGATGTCTACACTGTCCATTTTTACATCAACTCGACCAAGGTCACGACGGTTGGTGGTTGGTCTCGACCGTATAGAAGGCTTATAATTATGCTATATATCGAATTATTTATACCATGTAACTTGAACAAAATGTTTTCCCTGAGGTAGTGATAGTACATATTTATACTCTATAACTCAAATTTCGGCTCTTTTCCATTGACGTCCGTCGAATTGGGTGTTGATATTTTACAGAATGGTTACATTATTATAAGCACACACACAAAGTTTCAACATTCGGAGACATGTACTTTATGGGAAAAAAATTATTGAAAATCAATTATTTTTGCAATATTTATGTTAATCCCTAACACAGATTATATTGAATACACATTTAAATTACAGAATTAATTTCATTACAAGCTATAAAATTAAAATGTGTAGTTGTTTACGCCCGAACGCTGATTTCGGGATTGACGTCAGAGGGCGCTCGGCTCGGCGCCATACCGGTTTTGACGTTCGGTCGAGCGATGCGTCGAGGGCGCGCGAGCGAGTCGTCTGCCAACTGTGCTAACGTCAGCACGCTGTCAATTTTTGTGCGGGAATCGCGGAATAGTTTAGGCGTCTAGTAAATATACTGTCTAGGATTTGTAACGCGCATTCCTTGTTGGATAGCCTTTCCCGGGATTTATTGTGTCCGACTCAGAATCTGTATAAGTGCATTCGACAATATTAGCTAGTGCGGCCTTTGATATTCTAGAAAACTGTTGCCACGCGAAACGGTAGTGACCTTTGACCCGGACACTCCGTGTTCGTTTTGTGTGTTAAGCTTTATAACAAACGAGTTAGTGGCTTCTGTAAGTTAGTTAATCGAACGATAGAGTTAATCGACTGTTATCGTGACGAACGAAGAAAGTGACGGTGGACGGCGCCGCGGAAAATTACCTCAATTTGGAGCGGTGCTGACGTCCAGGCTGCTGCCGACGGTAAAAGTCTAATAAGGTCAATCACCACCAGTCACACCCAGATACACATCACAGCACCTTTTTTCCCTTGCACTACACAACCACATGCGACCTGACCGAATCCTGAGGGACCAGTCGCCTTGGATATAGGTAAGTAAGCTCCGTTTAATATTCTCCCTGTGGAATGGCAGTAGTATACAACGCTCCCCCATATAGTTTATTGCGATAGAACATATTCCACGCGGCCATATTGTGGCCACGTCCCTCTGCTGCCCGTCGATGGGATTACTCATGGGCCCTAATCCCGTCAACCTTTGTTGGGGCAGCTAGGGGCGTGTACAGTAGTGTTTACTGTCTTTTGCCAGCTTGTGTAAATGTAAAACTGACACTATTTTGTATTGTCACTGTCATCAAAATGATGTTCGGTAGGGATGGTTATAAAACAAACTTCACAGACTGGCTCATTGAATATTCTTGGCGACGAAAAATAAGAATAGCACATAAAGATTATTTTTTTGTAGAAGAGGGGGCAAACGAGCATGCGGATCACCTGATGGTAAGTGACTACCGCCGCCCATGAACACCCGCAACACCAGGGCAATTACAGATGCGTTGCCGGCCTTTTAAAAAGGAGTAAGCTCTTTTCTTGAAGGTTCCTAAGTCGTATCGGTCCGGAAAAATCGCTGGTGGTAATGGATTCCACAAGGAAGTTGTGAAATCGATCGAGGGAGAAAACTTCTTCTAAATCGCACAGTGGTGGACCGCCAATCATCCAGATGGTATGGATGGTATCGCGAGTTTTGTCACGATGTGCGATGGTGAAATTGAGCGGCTGGAATTAGTCCGAACAATTCCTCAGAGCACTCCCCATGATAGATGCGATAAAATACGCAAAGAGATACAACATCTCTACGCAGTGCCAGTGTATCGAGCCGATCAGAAAGAACTCGGTCGTCGACGATTCGAACCGCTCTGCGCTGGATGCGTTTAAGTGGAAGAAGCTGGCACTGGGGTGCCCCGGCCCAGAGATGAGAACAGTATTCCATGTGAGGCCGAACTCGCGCTTTGTAAAGTTGCAAGCGGTGTGCCGGCATGAAATAGTGTCTCACTCTGCTGAGCACGCCAAGCTTTTTAGAGGCAAATTTGGCCTTCCCCTCCAAGTGACCACGAAACTGCACACTATTCGATATGTCGACACCGAAGATTCCGATACTAGCTGAGGCAGCAAGGGGAGTGCCTTGAAACTGAGAAGATACGACAAAGGGGTTCTTTTTAGCGGTAAACGCGCAAACTTGTGTCTTCTGGGGACTGGGACTAGATTTAGTTGCCCCCAATCCGAGACTTTGTTCAGCAAAGACTCGACTTCAGACACAAGTTTATCCCGGTACTCGGCGACGTTTTCTCGAGAAATATTGGCACGACCGGTATATAAGGCATCACCAGTGCTGTCGTCTGCATAGCAATGAATGTTACCAGTTTGCAACATATCATTGATATGCAGGAGACACAGCGTTGGTGATAGCACGCAGCCTTGTGGAACACCAGCGTTGATAGGCTTGAAATCAGAGCATGCACCGTCTACTACGACCTTGATGCTCCAATCAGCAAGGAAACTGGTGATCTATTGGCGCAATTTCTCGGGAAGCCCACAGGAAGGAAGCTTCGCAAAGAAGCGCTTTGTGCCAGACCCGATCGAAGGCCTTCGCTATGTCCAAACTAACGGCCAATGCCTCCCTATTGGACTCTACTGCCTCCGCCCATCTATGAGTTAGGTAGACCAGGAGATCACCAGCTGATCGACCCCGACGAAAACCGTACTGGCTGTCACAAATCAGCTGGTGATCCTCAAGGTACCTCATGAGCTGGCAGTTTATAACGGATTCCATTATTTTGGAGAACAAGGAGGTGATTGCGATAGGCCTGTAGTTGGACGGGTCTGAGCGGCCGCCTTTTTTAGGAATCGGGTGGACTAAAGCTGTCTTCCATGAATTCGGGACTACGCCTTGGGAGTAGGAGTACCGGAAAAGACGCGTTAAAACCGGTGCCAACTCCGGAGCACACGGCTTCAGCACAATGGGAGGGACTCCATCGCGCCAACTGGACTTGCTGACGTCCAGGGAGAAGAGTGCTTTGCGAACCGAGCGCTGTGTAAGCCGCAAATCCGGCATGGAGCACTCACATCGCGGGATGGTCGGCGGTGTGTTCCCTCCGTCATCTAGAGTCGAGTTGGACGCAAAAAGAGAGAGCTCAACAGATCGGCTTTCTCCTTTGCGGCATGGGCCAGTGAGTCGTCCTCTCTGTGCAGATGGAAGAGATGGCTGACAGAAGTTCCCTTGGACAGCCTTGGCGAGAGACCAGAATGCACGGGTTTCCGAAGGAAGGCGAACTAGCTTCTCGCCAATTCTGCCGATGTGCTCAGACCTTGCCTTGACAATGACGCTTTTGAAGGACCTGGAGGCGGAATTATCATTATTTTTAAGTGCGCTGGTGCTTACATTCCGAGACGTTGATGCGTCAGCCCAGGTCCGGTAGCACTCCTGCTTATAGCGTGATGCTATTTTACAGGGGCGACCAAACCATGGTTGGGATCTGCCTCCGATGGGCACCACAGAGGATAGACCTTCGTCCAACAGGGAAGGTACATGGTCTTCCACATCTGGGATCCACGTAGGCGAAGTAACCAGTTGTGTTAGACCATATGCCAAGGCCGCCAGACATTATTCCGATGATATCCCGGACGTCAGTCTGAGCGAGATTAGAATGGCTCTCCAGCACCTTAAAAACGGTAAGGCCCCAGGCGAGGATGGAATTACAGCGGAGCTTCTGAAAGCGGGTGGAAGACCGGTACTTGAAGTCCTTCAGAAGCTCTTTAATTCCGTCCTCCATGGTGGCATTACACCGGAGGCGTGGAGCAGAAGTGCGGTGGTCTTGTTCTTCAAGAAAGGTGACAACGCTCTCTTGAAGAACTACAGACCGATTTCCCTTCTGAGCCGCGTCTACGTGCTGTTTTCGAGAGTCATTACGAATCGTCTCGCGCGCAGACTTGACGACTTCCAGCCTCCCGAACAAGCCGGTTTCCGAAAGGGCTTTAGCACCATAGACCACATACATACCCTTCGGCATATTGTACAGAAGTCCGAAGAGTACAATTTGCCACTATGTCTGGCGTATGTGGACTATGAGAAAGCCTTTGATTGCGTCGAAATTTGGGCGGTGCTGCAGTCCCTTCAGCGGTGCCAAGTTGACTGTCGGTATATCGAAGTGTTGAAGTGCTTGTACAGTAGGGCTACGATGGCTATCCGAGTACAGAACCAGAGTACGAAACCTATCCAATTGCAGAGAGGTGTAAGACAGGGTGACGTCATATCCCCGAAACTCTTCACCGCTGCATTGGAAGACGTTTTCAAGCTTCTAGACTGGAAAGGATACGGTATCAACATCAATGGCGAGTACATCACTCACCTTCGATTTGCCGACGATATAGTCCTTATGGCAGAATCGCTGGAGGACCTAAGCACTATGCTCAATGACCTCAATAGTGTTTCCCAACGGATAGGTCTTAAGATGAACATGGACAAAACAAAGATCATGTTTAATGTCCATGTCACAGCTATGCCGGTAGTTGTTGGGAAAACTAAGCTCGAAGTTGTTGACGAGTATGTTTACCTGGGACAAATAGTCCGACTAGGTAAGTCCAACTTCGACCGAGAGGTCAATCGACGGATTCAACTCGGCTGGGCAGCGTTCGGGAAGCTACGACACATCTTCTCGTCAGACATACCTCAAAACCTTAAAACGAAATTGTACAACCAGTGCGTGTTGCCAGTGATGACTTACGGAACTGAGACGTGGTCCTTCACTGCTGGCCGTATGAGAAAGCTCAAGGTCGCTCAGCGAGCTATGGAGAGGGCTATGCTCGGAGTTTCTCTGCGTGATAAACTTAGGAATGAGGATATCCACAGTATAACCAGAGTAACCGACATAGCCCAACAGATTAGTAAGCTGAAGTGGCAGTGGGCCGGCCATATAGCTCGAAGAACCGACAACCGATGGGGAAGAAAGGTTCTCGAGTGGCGGCCTCGTACCGGTAGGCGAAGTGTAGGGCGTCCCTCTACGAGATGGAGTGACGACCTGGTAAGACATGCAGGAAATCGATGGATGCAGGTGGCTCAGGACCGTGCTTTGTGGCATTCTTTGGGGGAGGCCTATGTTCAGCAGTGGACTTGTGAAGGGCTGTAATGATGATGATGATGATATGCCAAGGCAAAGTCATAGACAGCTCTACCCGCATGATCGGTTAAACGAGAACCAAGCCATTCAGCATGGTGGGCGTTAAAATCACCGAGTATCACGATCTCTGCGGATAGGACCTGTTGTAGCACGGAATTGGGCCTCCGGCCACCAGCACTCACCAAGCGCAACGCAGAGGTAAACCTCTACTTCACGCTGGTATTCTGTGAGGTCGTGGTACTACCCCGCTTCGAGCCGGCCCATCCGTGCGACAGCAAAAGCTGCCGCGTGGCTCTACCACTGTTGATGTTTTCGAAGAATTATTTAAAGCATAACAATATGTGTATAAAATTTATTAATAACTTATTAATTATATTTGATTTGTCTTATTTTAACAGTACCTAATAAGGCAGATAACAAATAAAATAAGTTAGGTTCAATTATGTCAAAGAACCTAATTGATTAACCCCAACTCCACCTGGTACGAGTCTGTCCTATCCCTAAAGTGTTTATAGAGCCAGAGGCGTGTAGGGGAGCAGCCTCCGCTTGCTGTAACAAATTGTAGGCATCGGACAAGCCGGAGCAGCTGAGATGAGGATAGATGCCTGCGATATGTAACGCAAAGGCGTATAGGCTGCTCTCTCTGCAGCACCAGAGACGTTAGTCTCAAAATAGATACAGAAATCCCTCTGATTCCCTTATTTTTTTCTGACGAAGGTTTTCTTCCCCCCACGGGCTCACCCTGGTTTTTTACACTTAATATTAATCCATAAAATTAAAATTTCCTCAGAATTAAAAATGAAAAAAACTTGAAAAGGCGAGGGGCTCCAAAAATTTTAATTTTTAGGGGATAGTACACCCCTCCCCCTCCCACCATCAATTCGACGAACGTCAATGGAAATTCCTAATGAAAATAATTCTGTAATTTAAGTATAATTTAAGAATTCGATATAATTTGTGGTAGGGATTGACATCTAAATATTGCAAATATAATTGATTTTCAATATTTTTTTTCTCAAAAAGTACACATCTCAGAATATTGAAACTTTGCGAGTGTGCTTATAATAATGTAACCTTTCTGTAAAAAAAAAATATCAACCCCCAACTCAACAGACGTCAATCAAAATTCATACCCAAATTTCATTTAGCATTTCCCTTCAAATTCGAGTTATAGAGATTCCATTGTAATTTATCACACAAAGAAAAAACATGCTTACCTTACTTCTGCCGTTCTATCAATAAGCAGATCGGTTTTATTCCCATAAATACGAACAAGCATAACATCATCTCCTTCACCAATTTCATTGTTTAAATAACACGCAATCAATTTATTTGTAATACCATCAGTGAAAAGCTGCAATAATTATTTAGGTTTAACAAAGCTAATAACTACAACAAGACCCAAGCTTACACTGTAACTATTACCTTAAAATTAATTCTTTCTGGTGGCCAAGCTGGTCTAATAGTTTGAAGAACTTTATAAATTCCCGTGTAAATATCACCCTCTTCAATTTCTACTGGAATAAATATATCTCCTGCTGCCAAACAAGCTAGTGACATTTTTAATTTAATTAATTAAAAGATTTTATTGTTTATTTATAGCTTTCGTCTATATAGTTCGACCAATCTGTAACTACTCACTAAGAAAATTATTGCGACTGATAACATCACAGGACGTTAATACGCGACTTATTAAAAACAAAACATTAATTCATACTTCATAGATAAATATCATAAACTAACTAGAAACAATCACGATAACGAACTCACGATAAATATTAAATATGATAACGATAATTTATCCAAATCTTATAAACATCCTTTGACAGTAGTCACTTGTCAGACTTATTGGCATTAGAGATGTAACGTATATACTAGAATAGATCCAGGCACTAAGTATTAAATGAGACTAGGTTGCACCTGTTCTAACTTTTAAATACTTGATCCACTTAGTCTCACTGTGCCTACGTGTCGCACGGCACCAACGCGGTGAGGTGGCCCGCTCGAATTGAACAAGTACTGGCATTTAGCATTTTGTTTGCTGCTTTGCCGCTCACTCGTGTTTTCTTAAACCATTCGTGTGTCAGTCATTTTAATTTAAAAGTAACGAGACGCACACTCATGTTGTGTAAGAATATATTCTGTCCTTTTTTAGCTACACTATTCCGCAGTCTTTCTATATTTGTCTGTCATTACTCGAGACTAGTCGGGTCTAGTCCCGGGGACTTCAACCAAATACTAAGCAGATTTTATACACTAGATACTTGTAAATACTCGATGCGAATGTAAATCATATGATGCAGTCGAGTATCTAGGACGGACTCATGCGAATGATATCTCGGTACCGTATTGATACCTACTCGACTTATTAATCAATAGGTTTTAGTAACGAAGTATTGTTATATGGTTAAAGGACTTTCGATTTATTTTTTATTTAGACATAAGACGTGTAACATTTGCAAAATACAATTTAGTTTTAAACATTCTGAAGACTATTCTTCAGACTAAATTATTAAGAATAACTCAAAAATTGTTGGTCAGACCTTGAGCACATTTATATGGGACCAAATGTGAAGCACCAGCTTTCAAATAAAAAAAAGAATCATCGAAATCGGTTTACCCAGTAAAAAGTTATGAGGTAACACACATAATAAAACATACAGTCGAACTTAGTGCCATCTCCTTTTTGAAGTCGGTAGGAAAACAATGATTGTAGACATGTAATTAAAGAAACTAAACAAAAATAATTAAAAAAATAAACGAAAAAAAAAAAGATAAATACCGGATCTCTGGAAAAAACTTATTGAAACCTTATACGCCAACAATCTAGATTTCTAGAATTTTGATAGATCTTAACGTTGCCAGCCTTAAGCCTATGTAAAGTTGAAGGGGTGATTACTTATCATTACCTTCACGTATCGGCTGTACGTAAAGATTAAGCATACTTTAAAGTGTAAGCTATTCCAACAATACCAAACTTTATGTGTACTTCATGGACTAGGTAGAACAGGTATTTAAATCGAGTATTTGTACTGTACGACTTTTTTTTTTTAGTTTATGGCCTGGTATCTAGACCTTTAGGCCATACTTACTGTATTTATTGGAGTAGAGCTGCTAACCGACAAATCGGTACGTAGGTACAATATTCAATTCTTAAAAAAACAACGATTCCGATTCATAAAAGTTGCTAATTTATTTACAGTCTTGTTTCGATTAATACCAGAATAAATTAGAAAAGGATAATATAAAACACAAGATTTATCAGTTTCTTCGTATTTAGTGTTACAGCTTTGTTATACAAGCAGGTATATAAATTTAAGATTGAAACTAGATTAAGAACACTTTCACTACAACTAGTTGAGCTGTCGTTGTTTAGATTAATTATTGTTTGATTTTCAATAAAGTAGTGAAAAATCAGTCATCCACAATAATTTCTATTGTTTTCTGCACCACTTTTGCTCAACCATACTTTATAACATGGGCACATGGTTTCTTCAGTAAACGTTCCATCTTCTTCACCAAGAAAGGTGGTTTGGTGTCGTGTCGTTCTGTGTACCCTGTAAAAGTATAAGATATTTTCATATCGCGTGTGCTACAGTTAATACGTTTATATTTAGAACATTTCATATAAGAACTAGTCTTTGATTTGGGCCCCGAATCAATCCAATAGCATTATATTGGCAGTAGTATGGTGGTAGTCTAATAGCTTTATGCCCGTGCTCTTCTGCAAATTCATAAATAACGTACAAATGTTTACGTGGTTTATTTTGCTATACTAATTGTATTGGTTTCAATAATTTCATTTGCATTACCACTCCTTTGTGTAGCAGCCATGCTACTTAATCTTCTTTCTAATTCGCTTGGGTTGCTGTTGTCGATTTGGACATAATGGTACGGAGCCTTGTCCATTATTATGGTGCTCTTAGCAGGAATGTTTTGTAAAAGAGATATAAAGCATTCTTTAGAATTTTCTGCATCCATTTGTACGTGTTATTCTCTTGTACTTATTGATTGGAAGACTTATAAACAATTTTCTACAAATCGTCCTACGGCAGAGGCCGCAGCGTAAATTATGAGGCACCCACTTTCCCACAGGCAATTTCGAACAAGATGCTGCAGTGTCATCTGTTCATATTTACGGCCAGGGCCAGATTAACTATGTTGGGGCCCTTAAGCAATAGATTTCTCGGGGCACCTTTGCAGCCAGCATAAAGGGATGTAACGTATCCATATTATTAGTTCTACTACTCGATACTAGATGGTTTTATTCTGTAAGTATGAAGTATTTCATCAACTGACAGTATGCGTCGCTAAAACGTAATAATACCTATTGTCACTGAGGTTACAAAATTTTTCTCTGTATGAAACATTTTCCATTACATTTATGCGCCCACGGGGCCCCTACCCGATGCGGGGCCCTTAGGCAGTTGCCTACTCTGCCTAAAGGATAATCCGGCCCTGTTTACGGCACAGTGTGGATGGTGTTTAAATCTCGAATGAAATGAAGACATAGCTTAAATAACAAGCACCCAAGCAAAAATCTTAAAATAATTAATAATTTCAGTATCATAACTTATTTTCCTTTTTTTTAAATGTCGTTTAATTGAACTGAATCACAATATTAATATTTACGTGACAAACGTCGTGAATTTCGAAAGCCTATGCAACGGACATTGCTTCTGAGGTGAATGTCTTTGTTCCGAAGTTTTGTAATTACCACCCTATAAACTTATTATTGTTTTATGGCAACTGTGGGAACCAGATTAGGGATGCTCGAGTGAAAAAAATATAGATTTTCTTAAAGAGTATCGATTTATATCGCGTGTATATCGATATATTGTCACATAAAAAAAACTACAAGGGCACATGTATACTTTTGTAATTGATTTTGTTACTTATTGTTTTGTCGATTAATACAACATTTTAAAATATATCGAAATTGATACGAATTCGATACTTAAAATAAATATCGAATATTGCTATATTGCTATTCAAAGTATTGACGATATATATCGATATTTTTTACCCAAGCCTAAATGAGACAGCGCGACTGAAAAGTGATAATTTTGACAGCTCACGACCACGAAGTTTCGTATATTTTTAGATAAACTGTCATATGAGGGTGACACTGAAAGTTCTTAGAAAATCAAAAACTGACCAGCAAGTTATTAGTTTTATTATATATTTTCAAAATACTGTCCATTTACATCAATATATCGCTGCATCCGATGGAACTACTGAGAAAAGCGCTTTGCCCACTCGTCCGTAGGGGGTCTCTTCGACGGCATCTTGAAACACAGCCACTGCTTCCTCGACGTCCATAAAACGTTTTCCTCGAAGTTTTTCTTTTATTTTCGGAAATAAATAAAAATCGCAAGGTGCGAGGTTGGGTGTATAGGGTGGGTGACTCAGTATTACCACGTCTGACATCGCCAAGTAGTCAATTGTTTGCTTGGCGGTGTGCGACGAGGCGTTGCCGTGGTGAAGGAGGATCCTAATGCGAGGTCATTTCTCTCGAACTTTTTCCAAGACAAGTGGCAAACAATTGTTGGTGTACCACTCTGCAGTAACTGTTTTTCGATCCTCTAAAACAAATGTTGCGTAATGACCTGTCCTTCCGAAGAACGAGGCTACCATCTTTTTTCCCACGCTTCGACCTCTCTTTAGTTTAGTTGGCAACTCGAAACACCCAGACAGCAGACTGTCTCTTAGTTTCAGGATCATAACAATATATCCAGCTTTACTAAAGCTGGATATATTGTTGCTTATTGCTTTAGTCACTATTTTGTCAGTCTCTATCATACGCCGCACAACACTGATGTTATCTTCAGTTGTCGCCGTAGACGGCTGTCCCTCACGCAGATCATCGTTGAGATTAGTGCGACAACGTTTAAACTCATTAAACCAGTTGTAAACAGTGGCATGCGATGGGGCTTCATCGTGAAAAGCCAATCGAAGCCTATCATAACTTTTTTATTGATTTAAATGATATCAAAGTCATAAAAAATCATTGTACGAAAATTTTCTCGCGTTAAATTCATGCTGACGTGACACAGACAATTTTCAATTAGCCGCCAAATCGTAAACAAATGTCTAATTACTAAAATGCATACACAATAATATTGGCAAAGAGTTCCATTTTCAAAATTTGAACTTATTTTTTTTATTATATCGTTTACAAGTGGCCAGTTCTAAAAACTTTCAGTGTCGCCCTCGTACAGATATTGTTGTACTTCATGAATGGGTACCACCCACCTACGATAGTGATGTTCCACGCTAAACTTTTATGCAATGCCATAGCGAACAACCACAGACTATAAAAAATAGGTTTTAAAATGATTCGAATATATAAAAGTCACGTAAATATGTATTGAAATTGGCTCTTTTTTGGCAAAATATGTTCTATTAATGGTACTGATTGCGTGTCAGCCCTATATTGTCAGATGTTATTATGAAAAAAAATATATAGAAATCTAAAATAGTACCTATTGACTCCGAGATTGTGGCAACACTACACCCTGTCATCCGTTTGTCAGTCAGCTATTTTGTAATAAATTCAG